ACGGGTGGTGATCCCCTGGGGCAGGTTGCCCCGAGAAGCTGTGGCTGCCCCATCCCTGGAGGTGTTCAAGGCCAGGTTGGACGGGGCTTGGAGCAACCTGGGCTGGTGGGAGGTGTCCCTGCCTTGGGTTGGAACCCAATGGTTCCACTTGAGGTTCACACTCAATGATCTTCAAGGTCCCTTCCAAGCTAAACCATTCTATGATTCTGTGCATCCCTACACACCACAGGACATCTATATCCTGCTGTGCCAAGGCTGAAGAAGTCAACTACGCCCTCCCAGAGCCCTTGATGCAGACATGGACACCTTCTCATGGCCTGCTGCGGTGAGGGTCAAGGAGGAAACCAGAGAGACTCGTCCCCAGCCCAGTCCGAGACTTACTTGGGCAGCGGGAGCTCGGGGATGTGGTCTATTCGGACCAACTGCCTGATCCGAAAGCGGCAAAGGTGCTGAAGGGATTTGACATTGCTGAACCTGGAGACTGGGTACAGGAGCTGGACAGGCGTTGGAGGGAGACCTTTGGGCAGAAAAAAAAAAAAAAAAGCAATACTGGAGATAAGTGTTCTATTAGAAAGCAACCGCTACCGATTCAGCAAGGCAGAGCCGGCTCTCGGGCGCGGGAGCTCTCTGCAAGGCTGTGTCCGACGGTCCATCTCTCCAGGAACCCACCGCTTCGGAGTGGTGAAAGGCTTCAAAGGGACTTTGATACCCTTTTGGCTGCAAAATACCTCCATCCTTCCTAAAGAGGCACCGACAGTTCTGATGTGACGGGAAAAGCAATCCCTGGGACACCGCGAGCTCCAAAACCGCCCCGCTTCTCCCGGGACTGATAGACGAAGCATCACTTTTGACGGAGAAGCAACAGAGTTTTGCAAGGATGGAGAAGACAGCCAAAGCAAGAAGGCGAGGCAGCATGACCGGCACGTAGGCTTTGCTCTGCATAACCCTTTGGGTAGTTCTAGCGAGGCGTCACAAAGCTGGGGGATTCGGTCAGCTCCAGCTGAGCCAGAGTTGCTCATTCCTGGGGTCACGAGGCTGTGCACAAAGGCAGCTTCGCTCCAGCCAGCTCCCCACGCAAGGAGCAACCTCGCAGGGCCGAAAGCGAGTGGCATCCAGCCCTCTGTCCCCATGTGTCCTCCCCCCCCCAGCCCCACAACCTCCTCCTCCCCCAAAGTTAAGAGCGACAACGGAGCCCACAGCGCCGAGAGGTCGGCAGGAGGACCAGGAAGGATCTTTGGGAGCCGGGTTCATGCCCAGCACAAGGTTTTATCTGTCTTTACAGAGGGATTCCAAGCTAGTTACACTCTAACCCCCCTCCTGCTGGCTTGTCTCTGAGGGCAGCGGAGTGAAAGGAGAAAAGGGAAAGCTCTTCACACTAAGATGGGCTCAAAACCGCTGCGGGCAGCTCAGGAAGCTGCGAGCCAGCTTTTGAGAAAGCAAAGAACAGCGATCAATTGAAGGCTGGATTCTCTTCCCCCCTCCCTCGCCCCCCTTCCTTATTCTCCTTCCAGAAAGGAATTAGCCTCTGGGAGCTCAGCCAGCGACTACGGGGACGGAGCACACTGGGGAGATGCAGATCCTAAATATTCTCCCGTTAAAAATAAATAAATAAATAAATAAATAAAAAATAAAAAAAATAATCAGGCAGCAGCGGGAGACTTTGTTTTTTTCCAGGATCAAGGCACAGCGGTGCCAAAAAGCGCCCGAGTCCAACGCCGCATGTGGATGGAGAGGTGCAGGACCCGGAGCAGCACGGCGGGCTGGTGGCCCAGAGGGGCACTGGGCAGCAAGGGACTCCTCAGCAGGTGCCCACCGCTGTTTTTTGGGGGGGGATTATGTTATTTTTTGACGATATTTTTCTAGAGCAAGCCCCTTCTGAGGTATTTGCCTGGAGCCCTAAGCCCTCAAAGCCTTATTCTCGAGGGGCAGAGATCTCAGCGTCAGGAAGGTAAAAGCATCTTTTGACTTGAAATGATTTTCTGAAGGATGGGTACATTGCAAAACCAGCTTCACAGCACTCTCCTCCCCAAAGCACGGCCGTGTTATAAATCAGTTTTCCAGTTATTGGCAGTCTCTGCAGCAGAGGGCAACACTGAACAGATCCGGGCTGCGACTCCCGCGCTGCTGGGAACCCTGAAAAGGGAACACCCCATCTCCTCCCCTCCCGTCTCCTCTACGCCACAATTTGGGCTGAATCCTCTCCACGCCGAGGTCGGTGTGGCCATCGGGGCCCGCAGGCGCGATGGCAATACGGATAAGGAGCAAATTTACTATAATTTCACTTGGGGATTTACCGCAGCAATCCTCACGCTCTTCTCGCTTCTGCCCCTCTCTGCTTCGCTGCCGCCACCCGTCTCACCTCAGCAGCGCTCCCATTCCTG